AAATATTTGTTTTCTTGTTTACCGTCGGGAAGAATCAACGAGAGGAAATTAAATCTCACGTTGATTTACGTTTCGTACACACCAAACAGACCTAACACAAACACCCCTTCGTGTAACATGATTTGAGAACACTGAGGTTTGTCTACCACACTCAACACCATCACACTACCGCGGTGTTATAAACCGTAAATGGGTGTAGCGTGGGATTACGAATAGACCTCATCGCGCACAGATACGCAACTCCCCGAAGTGAGATTATCACAAAACGGTCTCGTGTCACCGACAACGGCCGGTGTCTCTATCGTAGTACTGGAAAGATTGTGAATGGTGAAGGTTGATGTGTTCACCGGCTGTCGTCGTGTGTGTCGGTTGGTGTGTGTCTGTTACTCGTTGTGTCGTCGTTGTCTGTCGTGTGGCGGACCGTGTGTGTGTGTGTGTCTGTTATCAGCCTGCAGCCAGGGAGGAGAGATCAGCAGAGCTGCCTGCACTGAGTGTGTGTGTGAGGAAGTCCGTGGATTGGTCAATTTGGACCAATCAGCGGGGGCTTAACGTAACGGCTCCGCGGACGTAACGTAACGGCTCCACGGATTGGTCCATTTGGTTCCGGGTAACGCATGACATCATGCGGTACCCGGAAGAATCAATGGACAGTTACGTATCTCCAACGAGAATCAAATCAAGTTTTATTTATATAGCACATTTATAAACGATTTTTGGTAGAGCCAAAGTGCTGTACATATAATAAAAATAGCCTACAGCAAATACAACAGCACAGATTGTTCAGAATATCAGTATGAGAAAAACGACACCCTCTATCCTTAGACCCTCACATCGTACAAGGAAAAACTTCCAGAGAAAACCCACAGTTTTAAAGGGGAAAAAATGGGAGAAACCTCAGGGAGAGAAACAGAGGAGGGATCCCTCTCCCAGGACGGACAGACGTGCAATAGATGCCGTGTGTAAATTGCAGAGATAATACATTATACAGCATATAGACCGAATGTTAGGAAATGCATGTGTCTATAATAAGAAGATGAATCCACGAGGATGTCAGCTACAATGTGGAAGCCATCAGGGAAGCAACATGACGAGACCCAAGGCAGGACCGCAGAGACAGGTTCAGCGACGACCCGAAGTCCACGACTTAATCCAGAACTCAGGATAGAGGATCCAAGACACAGGACTACAGCAAGAGGATCAGCCGGATCCCGGCATAGATATAGTGTTAGAGTTTTACTCGCTACAGGGTGTCCTTTGAGGGTTTTGACTCTGCAGACCGTTTACATGCATAAAAACCTTCATAACACACAAGGGGACGGGTAATAACCGGAAAAGCATGACATGGGAATTTCTTGTGTCTCCAGAAATGCTGACATTTAAACTTGAGCTTTTGAAGTGGCTGGCTTAATTACAGGAAATATTTTCCATCAAGAGCGGAAAATTAATCTGAACCTGAATTACTGAATGGAGACAGCATTTCAAATCTTTAATCATAACAAGCTTTGGCCAATTAAAACAAAGTATATTGACATCAATATCTACTATAAATGATAACAGAGAAACTAAAAAGCTTTTTAATGGATCGATGCACATTTGTGAAGCATGCACATCTGAATGGTGGTGTGCCGACTCAGCACAAGCCATAACACGTCCTGCCGTGCTGTACCAGTAAGCCTCCACAGTACACTCTTAGGGGTTTACATTGTGTGTGTGTGTGTGTGTGTGTGTGTGTGTGTGTGTGTGTGTGTGTGTGTGTGTGTGCACTTGTGTAGTTGGAAGTGGTAAGTGTAGAGGTCATGAATGACTATTCTGTGGCCGGCAAAGCCACTGTCTCTGCCCACAAGCACCTCTTTAGATGAATCAATCAAAGCAATTAGAGCGGATTGACATTTAATCTCCAGATAATTATCATGGGTAAATGCCAAATATTGTGTCCCATATACTGTTCAACTAGTCCCACTGCAGCAACTTTGTCAAGAGTTAGGTACAATGTTGCTTCCCACAAACACAATCCAGACAAACCACACATGCTTTGATTTATTGCACTCTACAATTAAATGATAAACTAAGAAGGCTGACAATTTGTTTTTGTGTAAGGTGTTCAGGGTACAATAACCTTGCCGTACATAAAAAACATTATCACCACTTCCACATGCAGACTCTCTTATTTGCATTTGTTTTATTAAAGTAAATCTGTGACTGCTTTCAATGCCAGGAACCCTATTAGTTCAAGAGCAGAGAAGTGTTTATTCCAACTTATTCCACGATGAGTGGGCATACGGTAATTATGTTTCCCTTTTCTGTATACAATCCAAAAAACTACTACAACAATACCCCAGAGTACATGAATATGCTGAATGCATTAATGCGTCCCAACAAAATCACATTTAGAATGCTAAAATCCTCTATTTTTGGCCTACGTTTCTGTGACAGAGAGAGCACAGTGTTTAAATGTAAAATGACTGAAATGCATAATTGCACACGGAGGATAGGCAAGAAAAACAAAACACAAAGGAAGATACAAAATAGCCCGAAGGACATTATGCAAGTGGTACATTCCAGTCCATACAGGCTGCACGAGCCAAACCTTAACATCTGTTTTGTGGTTTACACAGACAGTCTAATTATCACTTGTGCAATCTTAATAATGTCATTAGGAGGCAAAGAAACGCATCAATGTCATACTGCTGTTTGTTGGTCTGTTAGCTTAATTGCTGCTGTGTTGTGCTCTTTAATGTTATCTTTCTCTATGTAATTAGCACTTTGTCATGTGTCTGTTCTTGTTGCCATAGCCCCTCAACTGTGCTCAACGGAATTGAGCCAAATCAAAAGCATTTAAGCTGATGTCCCTTTAAAAATAAAGCAACATTGATTGCACCACATTGCACCAAGTCACAAGACCTGGCATTGAGTCCAAAACACTGATCCTGACATAAAGCAGAATCTGTAATTATGTGTTTGCAGGACATTTTTGGGATTAAAAACATCTTGTGCAGCCATTGAACACAGGTTCCTGCCCTCAATATACTTAATCAAGAAGAATTGTTGCAGCACTGCAGCACAAACACAGGACTGATGCCCAGATTTCGACAGTGACTGCTACTGTATGTCCAGGCAAAGGCAGCAGTGTCTGAGAGACCGGGACAGTGCTGGCTGTGTGATTTGGCTCTGTGTCTCCACTCATTGTGGGTCATGGATACTGGCCCCATGCCAGACAAAACAAAACCTAATCCCATCCGCTGGTAAAGCCAGGCCTCCCCTATCTAATCCCATGCTTAGTAGCCTAGTTGTGTGAAGTGCTCACACTGCACTACATCCGTGTGTTTCTCCACTGGGTTGGAAAAATATCCTACTGGTGTTCAAGGGATTTTAACCACTAACAGGATGTGGAAAGTCAAACACCAGTAACCCAGCTTCCATGTTTCTATTCCCAGATGATGTTCACACAAGGCTGCGTAACCCACGGCAACAGTTCTCAGCTCCATTGCCACTGTCTGTGGATATTAAAGCAGCAGCTTTCTACCTCTGATCATCTGCACCTGTGTCCAATTATCTTTAAGTAATTGCCTCACCCAGGTAGCATCTCTCCCTGTAATGGAATCTGGGAGGGTAATGTGGCGTCCTCTGGGTATGAATGGGGAATGGAGGGCCTTGTGCAGTGATATCGATGGAAACATAACAGTGTAAAATAACACACTGCTTTCTTAAGGGGTTTACAACCAGGATGCACAAAGAGTTTTTGTTGTGTGGTCATAAATGCTAAGATAAAAGCTCTAAGCCTGGTTTACCTTGGTCTAAATGTACTTTCTATTTAAAAAAATACTCAGCTGATTATGTTTATAACAAAATAGGAGAATATAAGGACATTCGAGTAAGAACCATTGAAACAGAACACGGTGAACAGGAGAAATAAATAGGACAGATGAAGAGCATAGAAAATAAATCCCATATCAAGTGAAATGAAGTAAGGAACCTTGTTGAACCTGAGTAATTCCAGCTCTACTAATACATGCAAGTAATTTTCAGTTTAGGACATGCTTGCATATAATCCAAGCTGAATATCAACGTACATCATCTCCAGAAAGTTACACTGCCAGCTCAATGTGTTATCATATAACAACCCCATTCACAGCACTCTTTTCAAGGGTTGTGAGCCCAGACAATGCCAATTGTCCTGGAGACAACCAAAGCATTAGTAAATACAGATATTCATTAACAAGACTCATCATTATTCTGAACTCTAATGGGTACAGCTAGCTCATGAAGTAAGACCCAAAGCATTGTTGGGAATTACAATGATAGTTTTGATTTTTCTTTGGGTTGTATGAGGTACAGTACACTGTCAGTGTATTTTCCTACTGTAGATGTCAGTTGGCACATCCCCAGATGGACTAAAATGGGAGCAAAGCAATGTACAGTACTGCTGTGGACATTTTGGAGCCATCTGAAAGAAAGACCCACTTAAGAAAACAATACCAGTTTAAGTGTGTGTTATATTTAGAATATCTTAAGACAGGCAGCTTTTCCATGGGGGAAGCTACACTGTTTTTATCTACAGTATGTTCTCTTCAAAGCAACAAGACTCCATTGCCAAAAACATGATTTTACCTTTCAGAACATAAAGGTTTCTCTGCTACCGCTGCCTCAATCATTTCCTTTTGGTTGTATTATTGTGATTATGAATGTAAAACATAAAAAAATCAGACAATTACACAAATAAACTGACCCACTGAGCCAGCTCCTTCAGCAAGTTAAAATCACTGTTTTTGTCAATGGAGTCTGACTCAAACTATTAATAATGTGGCTAAAATATGTTTTGTTGTTACCCCTTTCCACTGAAGTATATTGCTTTGCTGCCATGCTGTGCCTTCTATTTACGTCTCTAAACTGAAGGTGTGCTGACCCAAATCTAGTGTGTAAAGAGATTTTGGATAGTAAAGAAAACATTATAAAAACCCACTTCAAAGACTTCCAAACTCACCCCTTTAAAAATCACTCACCCCTCTGAAGTTGCTCATAGCCTGGAAGTAGACAAGGTAGCTCTTGCGGGGGTCCAAAGGACTGTTCCAGTAGCCGTTGTAGGTGTGATTGTCGCCCACAGTGAAGGGACTGGCCTCTGGGATGCTGCTGGGCGGCAGCTCGGCTGTGTAGTAGTGAGGAGTGCCTCGGGCCTGCGCCTCCCCATGGGACATCGGCAGTGGAAAACACTCCTGAAGCCCCAGCTCCCTCTTTACTTTCTTCACCATTTCCTCTTCAACAACCACCTGGTATGTGCTGTAACACAGAGGGGATGTGCACCTTTAATAATCCATGTTTGGTATTTAAAAAAAAGATGTATTAGCTGAGAAGATGTTCCCACCTGACAGGGGCCCCTCTGCCTTGGGCTGGGCGCAGCAGGACAGTAATGGTGCTCTCTGTCTCACTCAGGGGTGACGGCATGTCTCCGTAGTCAAACGTGGGAGCTGAGTACACAGAAACATGTTCACACACAATAACACACATATTGACTTACCCAGTTTTCATTTAATTCAATTTAAACAGAGTCTTTGCTCTCCCATAAACGTTTTCAGCCCTTCAATACCTTGTGAAACTGTCAGACCTTCAAGAGCCCTCCTTTTCCCAGTGCTAATAAACCAAGTATCCATAATCTTATAGTCAGTACAGTGTTTCCCTTCTAGTTGTCTTGGATACAAGTCCAATTAAAAGTTATGTGTGTGACGCTGAATTAAACAGGTTGCTAATTTAAAAGGATTTGGCTAAAGTCGTGCTCCTCCCCAGAGATGTGGCTGCACATTTCTCCATAATATCAGTAGTAAATTAGTAAGGAGGAAGGAGAGCAAACTATTCATGAGGAATCAATGATTATCATATTAAAAAGCTGTTTGCAAATACTGCAGCAGAAAAGAGCTGACATCAATTAAGGTGAGGCATTAAAGGAAAACTGAAAGTGCATTTGTTGACATTAAAGGTCCGTTGTGGTTAAAATAACTTACAGAGGGTTTGATGCCTCCTGCCAGATTGAGTCTGTTTGAAGGATGATTTTGTAGCGGTTAAGGCAGCGCACACGTCTGAACGCACGTAATCCAACGAGGCAATGTGTGTAGTTGGATACTCTGCGGTGGGTATAGCTTGAAGATGCTGACAGTAGTAGCGGTTGAAGGTGTTCAGTGTTTGCTAGCTGTCAGTGCAGATTTGAGAGAGGCTCAGTGTAAGTGAATGTTTTGCACCGTGGGCCAGTGGAGGAGGTTGAGGATGATCTGCAAAGACTTTTGGACTCTATCTGCGGTATGGCTTTATGCCAAGGCTCTGTCTTACATACCGCCAGTGAGCAGTGATTGTGCTCTAAATCTATAATTAAACAAACCGTGCCTGTAAAGAGACGGAACGAGTGAGTAACTGTGCGGGCGAGAAAGGGTGGGAGTGGCTGTACGTTCATAAGAGGTGTAATGCCATTCCTTAACAAGCACAAATGCATCATTAGGAGGAAATAGAAACATTGAGGCTGGATATCTATCACCAGTAGTAAGCTGTGGGAGTCTCAGAAGTGACACTCTGGTCCCAAGAATGTACTGCATCTTTCTTTTACACATAATACACAGCAGTGTCCCCACTGCAGTGTTCCTCTGCTTCCTACAAGTTAATTTATGTCTTGAGAACTGCGAAATGACAGCGAGTCACAAGTTTGGAGAGGCAATGGAAAATAGCTCCTACACTAAGGGAGCAGTAGTTTTGAGAGAAGAAAGCTGCCGAGGTCAAAAGAGAGAAAACCTGGAACCTAATTATAGCACACAGTGGGTGAAGTCTAGCGTAGTACCTGCATGGTGCTTCTATTTTACAATTTTACGAAGCTTTTTCGATTACTCACATGGTGCATAGATGCTCATTCAGTTAGCAGTGCTAATACCTGAGATATTGGTGGTGATTTCAGTGAGGGCGGTCTGCCCAAAGCCCTTGATTGTGCGGCCTCGAACTGAAATTAGGTAAGTGGTTCCCGGGTGGAGGTTGGAGAACATGTGGTAGGTCTCATTCTTCATCTTGGACACAGTTCTTCTGGGTCCCGGGACGTTGATGCCAGGATCAGACGATTCGATGCTCTGGTAACTTATCTGTAGAAAACAAGTTGATGTCAGGGTCATATCATAAAACCTCAGCACTGATTTTATGCTTCATTATCGCAGCTGCTAACACATTTCAAGTAATAGATTCATGCTGATCTAAAGAGGGCATTAACTCAAACGGCTTTGAGGTAAGAATTCATTTTAATGTTTGATTAATATGATTCACTTCACTCATAAATTAATTTCGTTCTTCAAATCAATGTGTGCTGATTAAAAATGGGCTCATAGTTTTAGATGAATAGGACTTGATTGGCATTGGCACTGTTGAATCAAAGTCATACAACCTCCTTTTTACAAAAAATAATTTGAGTGGTACACGATTTCCTGACTAAGTAATGCGTTAAAGGCCTGAGGACACGACACGGTAAAAGTCAATTAAAGTGTTTAAACCAATAGGGCTACGTGTTTATGAGATTAATTAACTCGTATTTATGCTTAAGTATTGCTGTTCATGAATGTCCTTAAAAATCTTTTATAAAGTTTTTCCTTGAGCGGTGATTTGCCTCCACGGCACCCTTGAGAGTTTCCACTTATGCTCTTGGAAAGAGACGAGAGCTAAATGAGGTGACCTTGCTCTAATCAGACAAGGGTGAACATTTTCCTTCATTGAGGGAATGGACACACACTCACTAAATTCTGTATTATGCTCATATTCATGTAATACACACATACTTGCATGCGCACCCAAGGCACCCTGAAGATGCCACTCAAGACAAACCAAAGGCTTTGCTGATTGTCATAAAAAGAGCTTAATGCCTGCTCACGCCTCCTTAGTGTGAAGATAGAATTATGGGCCATACAGTGCCTAAACACAGACAGACCTCTGTGTTTCTTCTATAAAAGCAGACATAAAAGATGCCCGACAGTGCATGGACCAGTGAGGACAGCATGGCGGTCGATGAGCTCAGGCGGAGTGGTCAATGGTTTAATCTGTGAAAAATGGAGAGGCTTTCTAAAGCTCTGTAAGAAGAGTTCTATGTCAGCTGAGAGAGATCAACACATTACAGGGAGAAAAATCCAGGGCAGCCTTCACTTTATATGTCAGACCAAAAATCCTATTTAATAATATCCTTGAGGCAGCATTGCAGACAGGCCAAGGAAAGAAGGCTCCAGGATAGGTAGGAAGCCCACTGATGTATCACCACACACTGATCCATAATCATTATACGGCTGAACATAAGGCCCAACAGACACATGTGAGTTATCTATTAATGACATGGGGCTCTATTTTAATGGCACAAGATCCAGTTTTAAGGGCTAGGCCTTGTGAACAAAGTCAGAGATAGCGTATATGAGCTTCGTTACTATTTTCACTCATATGCATAGCGCAATATTCACTCATGGGTGGATTATAACACAATGGGCCCCTTGGCACAAAATGCCCCCACCTGACCTACATAGTATCAAAAGCCAGATTCTGTATTGAGTTTGTTTTGCTTCTCTTTGTAGACTTTTTGCCTTTTTTTTGTCTATTGTTTCTTTGTGGTCATTTGATGGTGTGTTTTTGAGTGACAGGCTGTCGGTTTATGCCAGGCCCTGCTACTTTGGGACCCTGGGCCTGTGCCTGACAGACAGGTTTAGTAATCCATCCAAGCCTGCACTAAATGGTTGGGTGAGGTAGAATATAAAATGTAGCAGAGTGGTTTGGAGATTAAACACATGTCTGTAGTGTGCCCATTGCAGTGGCACTTGAAGAAAAGAGCTCAGAAATTGAGAGAACAGAAGTGTTCATCACTAAAAGAGCTTGGTACGTGCTGTTTGAATATCAAAATATTATATAGTTATAGTAAATAGTTATAAGTTCCTATTGGCATAACTACTTCAATGTTAGGTATGTTTAGATTCAAATATAGTTGTCCGGCTTGTTTATTACTCACAGTAGTAAACATAGCTTAAGGGAAATACAGTAGCCAACTATTTAGTGTGGGGTAAAAGCTAACAAAGAGAAAATGATGGCATAGTAATGAAGTATTTTCAGACTGTAAGTTGTTAGTCCTCATCCTAAAAGTGTGTCCTTTTGTAAAATTGAAACTGAAAAATACCTTTTCAACATCTTTATTGCTCTTCCAAGTATATAAACTAAGCGAACAATTAAGCTAACGCTATATAAACAATTTTGAGAGCCACAGGACAGGGAAATTCGACAGAGCTTCTCTCTGGGCTCACCTCATATTGTGTTATAAGGCCATTGGGCTCCACAGGCTCCTCCCACTTTAGGAAGATCATGTCATCCAGCGGGGTGAAGGTGAGCGACTCTGGCGCGATTCCTCCGGGAACTATAAGAAATTGTCAGAACAAACATTTGTCTGGAAAATTGAAGTGCTAATCCCACAGTGAGCCTCTCCTGTCAATATCACAGAAGTGAAAGTCACCGCGGCTCAGAACACAATGCACCACATGAGACTATCAGACAGCAGAACATCAGATAAGGACACAGTTAATTTATGATCTGCATCAATTATGTAACCACAACACAGACAAGAGCAAGCAAATCCAAGAAGGATTCTATCATTGTATATGAAAGTTTAGTTGAAACACATTGATGAATATGTCTGGTAAACTTGTTTCTGAATGGCAGTGAACATTCAACAATACACTCTTTTAAACGTGTTTTAGGCCAATTGGGCTGCAGCCCCAGTCCCCATGGGGTGTGATGGTTGTACAGAAGAAGACTTTAATGTGAGATTCAGGCCTGGGGCTAAAACAAGAGCCAAACAGCTGAGTCGACTGTTATTGTTCAATTGAGCTAGTCTGGAGGACAGAGTTGCTTATTAAGGCTTCTGAAAAAGGGTTCATAATTGACAGACTGTATATAAATATATATTTATCTTTAATCTCTTCAGGAAAAAAAAAAACCTGTCCTCTATCTCTCCTGATAGTTTTCTCTCTTTCTCTGTAAAGTGTATATCTCTTTCTCGAAAATCTTGTTTGTTTTGATTTTGTTTTCCACAGCTGAATTGACTTCTCCCTCAACTGCCATGCAGACGATGTGCTGAGGCACAAAGGATTAATAGGAGATAAGAAATAAGCACAAAATCCTATCTCAGGCTTGCCGGGGACTTAGATATAATGTTTTGTCTTTTATGTTATTTTCGTCTGAAAATGAAATGGACCTTTTGTAATGCTGATTCAGCGTCAGTCAGATGGTCACCCGCCCTCTATTTTGTTAAAGAAAAACAGAGGAGCTGGGGAATGTTTGAAAATGTTGAGAAAATTCACCACATATAAAACAAAAGTGACTCACACGTGGTTCAGTTAATTTATGTAGTAGAAAACTTTAAAACTTTAAAAATAACCATCAAAGAATAAACCCTACAGTATGTGACAGTAGAGTTATGGTTATGGGTAGTCCCGGGTCTGTACAGTCTCTAGTCTGACATTTACTATGAGAATAGTTAAACATTTGAGGTATTCCGGTACATTTTAGACATCAAGCTCTGAATAAAAAAAGGAAGATAAAAACACTTAGTTACCAGTTTATTAAGAAAAGTAATGAATACAATAGAGCTACAATATCTCCTAACTGAAGAAGGTTATAATGTTTTGTCTGTTTTGTCTGTTTTGGCGTAAAACGTTTAATGCAGGTAGGATTTAAGATGTTGTATCTGTATTAGTTTAGGCCATGTGTGGTGCTGTAACTAAGAGTTTTTTATTGTTAGGGGTGATTATTTTTCTCAAAAAGTTTACCATTTTTTAACGAAATTTTCCATTTTTTGTTTTCCTGTCCTGTGCTTCCTCACTATCTTTTCTGTAACCTTCTTCAGAGACTTACTGTCCTCCTCGGTCTGGAAGGTGACCTCTCTGCCCTCTTTCTTCCCCTCTGGGTTGGCCAGTGACAGACGGACATGGATGCCGTGGTAGGGTGGCAGATCACGCAGCGTGAAGCGAGAGGCATTGTGTTCCACTGCCAAGCACTCGCGCACCGTGGTGTTGTGGCCCCCTCCACCCCCCGCCGTGGTGTAGCGGTAGCACAGGGACACTGAGTATGTGTGGCAGCGTGTCAGGTTGAACGCCAAATTCTCCCACTGCAGGGACAACTGCCTGGACTGCATATCTGCGGCCGTGAGGCCCCGAAGTGCACGCATAGGCTCTGGGAGGGAGGAAGATTGAAGAAGAAAGAACAAAAGAAAATTGAATAACAATTAGACCATTAGAAAAGCCCTGAAGACTAAACTCTATTCTTTTGAGAAAAGGAAATTTGTACATTTGTCTTGTTGAGAAATATTTGATTTCAGACAGAGCAATAGACATTGCCACTTACATCTCCGACTACCCTGACAGTAGCTAAATATTTTGTGCGGGGTTATAGTTAAAGGTGGGGTGGGTAAGTTTGAGAAACCGGCTTGAGATACACTTTTTGTTATATTTCATGGAATGCTCTTAACATCCCGATAGCAATGAATATCTTAAGTGTTTTGACAACAAATCCATAAAAAAATGTCATCTGTGGAAGCCGTGGTACTGTAAAAAGCAGGACCAATCATCTGAGCCGGCCCGGCTAAAATAACTGGATGGCCTACCTGCCTGTCAGCCTTCCATCTGTGCACAAACTTATCTGGTGCCCTCATTGGTCATGTGCGCGTTCGTGTGTGTTGGAGGAGGGGCTCTGTAAGGAAGTGGCAGATTTTTTTCCGGTTGTGTATTTTCAAATTCAAGCGCACTCTAGCTGATTTCTCCAAAATTACCTACCCCGCCACCTTTAACATAGAGAAATAAATAGTCACGATGGCATAGTGAAGTATTTTCAAACAGTAAGTTATTAGTCCTCATCCTAAAGGCGTGTCCTTTCTAAAAATTGAAACGGAAAAATGCTGTTTTAACATCTGTATTGGTCTTCCAAGTATATAAACTTAGCGAACAATAGGCTCTGGGAGGGAGAAAGATTGAAGTAAAAAAGAAAAAGTAACAAAAGATAGACAAAAATAAATAATACCATTAGAAAGGCGCGAAGGCTAAACTGTATTTTTTGGAGAAACTGACATTTGTAAATTTGTCATTGCGACTTACATCTCAGACTACCCTGGCTGTTTTTCACTAGTTCTTGTCCTACATGCCGCCATATTGCCGTGCCACAACATGGAGGTCGTCAGTTTGCTGCCAGCGCAACACACCCACAGCCCCACAGGCAGAGCGGGAACTCATGCCAATTGCGCTAATTAATCGGACAGGCTGTGGGTTGCCATCCCACTCCCACCAGTTCCCGCTTCTATGTTGCTGAGCAAATTGACTATCCAGTTGTACTTCAATGCCCTGAGGTGTAATCCGCACACAGAAGTGCCAGTGCAATACAAGGGCATTCACTTCTGCCGGTCACTTTTACTGATGGGTCATCGCGATTGCCTGTTGCATAGTTTTTGAAGGCACTGAGTTAATGCTGGTCACTGCCGGGTTAACCCTGACTTTCTCTGATTAAAGGAACAACAGCTCTGTCTTATCTTCAAATGTAATGGCTGGCTGAAATACACAGAGAGCCTCTATGCACTGAAGCGCAGTCCAGGCAGTGTTCAAGAGAACGTCGGAAACTGAAGGGAGGCTGAGTTAAGCCAAGGACATCCTCAGTATCAATGGAGGCATTTATCAGTGGCCATTATTAACACAGTCAATCCCTTTTTGTCAAGCAACATGCTACATAATGTATTGTAATGCTTTATCCTTTTAATAGTCTGTGTTGAGTACTGGGCCAGGGAGGCAGGGGGTGACAGCAGACATATGGGGTACAGGAAGAGATCAGTGAAGTTTGAGGTTACTGGCCAAGGTCTTCATTTCTTCGCTGACTTGCACACTTGGGATGCTTGCTGCAGCTCAGATTAGCGGAGGGAACTGAAATAAGGCAGCTAATGCATCACAGAGTACGGGCTAATGCAGTAAAACAAGAAGTATTTATAAAGATGTATCTGGAAGGTACAGTACTCTGCAGCTGTGCAAGGACACATAAGCTGTATAACATCATTACTCCGCTCAACGTCTATATTGCTCACTTTTTCCCACCTTTTATTCTTCCTTCTCTTGCTATTTGAAATGAAAACCTTCTCAAACACACATACATTTGAATACTTACCAGATTCTCATTTTCTCACTTATTACTGTGGTAGCACAGTTATTTTAAATGACACTTCCAATATATACTGAACCCTTCTGTAGTCACTAGCTTTCTCTTTTAATTTGCTGTCTGGCACCTCATACTAGATGGAAATATGACCAGAGCATTGATCTGACCCTCATCCTGCTAATGTGACTGCAGGTCAATGTGTGGGCACATCGCAATCGCAAAGTAGTAGACTGCACCCAGAAATATATGGTAATGCTCCATTGTTCAATGTGGCTGAGGATTGTCTTAATGGTGCAATTGATAGTCTGCACAGTCTGAGAGCTAAATAAAGAGAGGCATTTAACTGCTGAGTTGATGAAAGTGCCGCCAAAGAGGCCACAGTGTGCTCATTGTGGCTTTTCTCAAAGTGGACATTTGTGCCAGTCCCTTCCCCTTGCCTCGTCTTATCTTTGTGTATGCTACGGGCACCCATTCTCTGGCACCCTGCGGAGTGAAAACTGCAGCCGCCCAAACATGGCAGAAGCCCAGTGCCCCATGTTGATCCTTGGAGATTGGACGTTAGAGTAGATGTGACAGGTTCTGGTTTATTATCCCTCCTAAAACTGTGACAAAGCACGGCGGCAGGACAGAGCAGAGTTGCCTTAGAACAAGTGCATCTGTTGAGGAGATCTGCATTGACTGTGTCACACGGGAAAAGCACATGTGTACAGACAAGCACAACATGTACCCATGTGTGAGAAAAAACAAGAGCACACATAAATCCAAACACCACAAATGTGAACATATAGGGAATTCTGGCTCAGAATGGAAGACATGATGAACGACATGCCAAAAGAGGTAAAGCACTTGTGTTCCTAATGTGCCTAATTTTAGTCAGACTACAGTACAGTGCTGGCTCCCTCTGACAGACCCAGAGCATCATGAGCAGGAGCTTTCCAGGCGGTTCAGTGACCCAGCAGCAGGTGGAAGCCCATTAACGTGGTTTGGGGACCACCTGCAGTACAAATGCTAGCCTCTCCTCTATGATTTACTTGAGGGGCTTCAAGCTGTGCTAATGCACCGTGCTGATAATCACAGCAATGGCTCATCAAGCACACCTGGATGGCCATCAGAGCAAGGCAGAGACCATGTTCACATTCACGGCCATTAGTTTTACAGCTACTGCATGAGGACAGCTCGGCTCTGTCAGGATGTGTACGGCGAGTTTGGCTAGTTAACGTGTTTGGAGAGGAAGGGAAATATTCAACATGACCAATACATGAGTGAGATTAGTCACAGTCGCGAGAAACAGCTTCTGGAGAGGAAATTCACTTTCCTCCTCAATACAGCGATGGGTTCCAATGTCCCTTCTGTTCGCTGGATAATTACTACCTCCCTGAAATCACTGCAACACGCCCACCATCTATTTTCTACCGCTTAAACCTAATCAGGCCAACAGCGAGGAGGGGCAATCAAGATTCAGCCGTGGAATGTGGGGTCAGGAGGGAGAGCGTCCACCAGATGGTTTGGAGGTTGGGTCGGAGGGAGCTCCGCGAACCAGGTGGTGATTAGGAGTCTCCTGCAGGGTCAAGAAGGTGAGATACACCAGGTGGAGGATTGCAGTGTTGCAGCGTTTTAAAGAGCAACACGCTTAGGTAAGAAACACTGATAGAGCCAAGCAGGAATCAAGCAGATGTAGCTGCACCAAAAAAAACGAACTCAACCAGACAGAAGGACTAACGGCAAATTCAAATTTCACCTATACTTACTATTTATTAAACTAGTACTGCATCTAAATGCCCTGTTTAACAGCTCAGCAAACACTGCAGTATTACTTATCCCACACATGGCTGAACAAGCTAATGTCACAGTGGTTGAAATGTAAATATATCATTAAAGGCTGAGTTTAGTGACTTTCACAACACCGATACGGCAACTGTGAAAGCAATTTCCCTTACGCTGTGGATCCTCTCTCGCTTCACCTCTCGCACATTCACATGCCTCATTTTTACTGTTTCACTCTCTCAATTTGAAAAACTACTACTTGTCTCCCACAGACACATACTCCCACACCGCAGCTTTCCTTCACCTCTTCCCTCTCGCGCAATCGTACCTTTTTTTACAATTTTATTGAGAATTCTTCGTGTGTCTCTTGAGGTGGGCTGGGGTGTGCAGGAAGGCTGTGAGCTCACTGGCACCCTGATGAATGGGGGGGGGGGCTTCTCTGGCTGTTGACTCTCCGGAGAGGAGGAGGAGTAGCTTTAATACTGTCACCAGAGAGTGGCCCAGAGGCTCTAGCTGAAGCATGTGGTGGGAGATATGTGAGGGATGCGTGGGGTGGCGCAGGAAGAGCCGTTGGGCATAGAAAGAGTGATGACCATGGAAGCTCAAATCCACACTGCCTTTGTAAACAAAGCTCTCCATTTCGTGTGCCTGAGAGGCGTATCGCACACACATGTCAGATCAGGCAGCGTAATGACTGACTGCATCTCTGTTCGCGCATCTGCATCATACACAGTTCTCTTGTGCATTGCGTGTACGTATATTTTAAAAGTGGCTGGCATCCGCTCATCCCCTGGGTGTTTCTTGTGTCTGCAGCAGTGGCAGATGAAGGGGGCGCAGACGGGTGAGGCAGGAGTAAAAAAATTGTGAACTTGAAAAAAAAAAAGTAGCCTGATGGGAGAAAAGCTTCCCCTGAATGACAGAGTTAAATCAT